AATGCTACCATATAGTGGCTGGCCAGCCTACCTAACCTAACCCAGTATTACCTAGGCCATAGATTACGCGCTGGGCTTCGGACGCACCACGTAAAAACTTGTCGAAAGAATATATTTAACAAGCCATGGATAATTGCTACCGTCCAAAACTGGTGAACCTTGCAGACTAAAAAAATTCACCACATCGGGATTCTCTTCAGGATTGTCAGCGCTGCACAGGAAATGCGATGGACGGGGCATAGCTGTAAGATGAATGCAGCAAGAGATACCTACTACAGATGTCATACCAATTTGGTGGGAGATTTTCGGCTGGGCAAAGACTCCGACGAAAGACCACAATTCGCATCACAGCTAAAAACTCTAATGGATCACGTTCTGATAGTCGGAAGAAGCGTACGTTCTATCCGACGAGCCAACAACGGAGTGCAGAAGGACATGAGTGCGAAGTGCTGGAAGGCAGGAATGCGCTACGAAAATTTAAAAATCAGAAAACAAATCAGCATTTAAACGATTTCAAGACTGGGACAAGTTTCTGCAAAGCCAAAGAAGGGAACCTGGTAGCAGACGTTCAAAGCGCACTTGAGATATGAATCAGTTCTCTACGTTTTATAATAGTATCATGGGGATGGATTTGATAAAAAAAAACCCAGACCACTTTACGGAGAGGAAGCTTACATCCATGCACTAGACCAAAGCAACAATAATGAGGCTTAAGAATAACAAAGCTCCTGGGGCCGGCAGTGTAATTCTCCGCACACACAAGTAGGCATAATATGCGAAAAATAAAATCCTTCATGAACTAATTGACTAAGTCTCATGGTAAATGTAGCTTCATACCTCGTAAATCAATGAGATTTTTGCAGTGCGTCTTTTTGGATGCTTTTGACAGCTGTATTTACCACGTTATGTCTAAAAATAACGCGGAACGCAGAGTGAAGTTGATCACAATTTTTAGTTTCATCTATAAGGTAGGGATCTCTCCGCGCCGCTCCAGATCAAAAAAGGTTTTACATAAAGCGGCTCGCTGTCGGTCGACATCTTCTCAATCTGTTGTGGGAAATAGTAAGATGAATTGCCAATATGAAGCGCAGTAAAAGCGCAACGTGCGCACAGCATCATGAATGAGAAAAAGACAAAGACAAGACAAAGTATGGCCCATTTTTTTAGACTCGCGCCACTGTTGGCAGTTATAGCTTTGAAGTTGTGAAGGACTTTGGATACTTAGAATGCAGTATATACACCGGCAATAATGTAACCTAAATAGAGATAAAGCGTAGAAGAACACTTAATAACCGTTGCTACATTGGGTTCATTTTATACGGTGCAGAAATATGGATGCAAGTGCTCAAATTTGGCATCAGATTTACGGTGGGAGCGAGACACCTTTGTAGAGTATTGACTGACAGAGTTCTTCACCACAGTTCGCAATAAGGCGAGAGCACTCCACAACAAACCGGTCTACGTAGCGGCAGCGTAACCACGTTCCCCGTTCATTACGTGCCGCCGTCGAAAAAGCAGTCGCATTTCAACAAGCCCGAAAGAAGAAATGGTGCGATGAGCAATGTCACGAAGCTGCGGAAAAACGATGCCGGCGGCAGGACCACATTTCAATCGACCGTAACGGGAGCTTAGACTGTTCAAAAGAAATATATTCTGTGGAAGTTTTATGGGCCTTTTCGCTATGAGCTTTATGAGTTTTATGACGATACGAATGGACAGAAACCTTTCAACCCTTAAAGTATATAACTCTGATGACGATGCTGCAAATCCTGCTTCGAAAAAATCAAGTTAAGGTGGCATTTCCAATTAGCGCCAGTTGCCACAAAAGAAAAACGTCCGGCGTGCGTATTTGGTTCGGCCAATATCACTTAATAGGTTACATGTTTAATTAACTCTTTGTCTAACGACCAGGTCCAATGGACGAGAATAAAATCTTCTTGAGTTTCCATATCGTAATGATCATAAAACAAAACATTTAATTATGAGAAGACGATTCGCACTGATGGATCCAAGCTTGATAGTAGGGTAGGCGGAGTAGTATGCGCTGAACAACTGGGGTTGGCGTCGTTCTTCCGCCTCCCACACAATTGTAATGTCTTCCAACCGAACTAGCGCCTATACTAGTAGCGGATACGGTAGCGAATTCCGCAAATCCCGCAAAGAGATGGCAGAGTAGTTCGCCAAGAAACGATAAAGCTGATAAGCTTGGAAGCGGGTCAAAAATTAAAACTTATGAAATACTATTGAAGAGGCCACGCAATGAGCGGCATTTCTGAGCGGCTAACCTAACCTTACCCTATTAAAACAAAAGAACTGTATAGGGCCATTTTGGCAAAGGGTTTTCTGCTTACCTCAGTCTTTCGAAAGGCAAAAGTCTTTCGTAAGACAAAAGTCAATTCTGGCAACTATCTTGGAAGCTTTTTACTGTCTTTCGAAAGACCAATTGAAAGATCTGCTAACGAGAAGGTATTAGCGTTGTACTGTTCGCCTTTTTGCAGCCCGTTTTTTTTTAAATTCGATTTTTTTTATATATATATGCATATTTTTCCTTTCTTAAACAATAAAAACCAATGAATAAAGGAAAATTAAGCAAAAAATAAATAAGAAAATAAAATTTAAAGAAAGCAAAAATGTTAAAAATATTTTTACAAGTTAAAAAAATTTTAAACACATATATTTAAATATATTTCTTTGTAAAACAATAAAGTCTGAAAATTAAAAGAAAATTAAATTAGAAAAGAAGAATTAAATGAAAACTAGAAACTAGTTCTTAAAAATTAAATGCAAATGATCAACTATATTTTTATTTTTAAAACAAAATCTAAAAACTAAAAGAAAATGTAATTAAAAAAGGAAAAAAACATAAAATCAGTTTCGAAAAATAAAATCAAATAAAAAAATATATGTTTTTTGAACAAGATCTAAAACCGAAAAAAAATTAGATTGAAAAAAATAAAGATAGTTTAATTCAGAAATAGAAACAGATACGTTTCTAAACATTTAATGAAATTGAAGAGTATATATTTTTCTTTTTAAAACAAAAAAATCTTAAAAAATGAAATAAAATTAAAAAACTTTTTATATTTTTCGTACTAACTGCCGATTTAACGAAAGCAATTGGCCAATTCACAAGAGTCTCATATTCTTCGTATCGTTGTATGGTTTATTTTGTTGCCATGGTTTCTCATATAAATTTTTCAAAAAAACATAGCACAACAGACGATAGCATGAAATAAAAGACCTTGTGAATTGGCTAAATTTAAGTGAAAAATTATTTCTTTTCTGTCAGTTTTCATATTAAATTCAAATAAAAAATAATTTTTCACTTAAATTTCTGGCGTGAAACTGGCTATAAGACAATGAAATTTAAAAATTAAAAGCAAATTTAATCACGCGAGCTAAACAATATACATACGTGGGGTTTCTGTCAAAATAGCTTTTCACCAGGAGTGGTGAATGAGAGAGCATTTTTTTCTAAGACTTTTGTACCAGAATGACAAAAGTCTTTGGAACTATCTTGCTAGACAAAACTTTGTCCTACCGAAAACACAAAGAAACTTATTTCAAAACCTCGATTATGTTGGGGAAAAAGCCTTGCAGAAGCATTTACTAGAAAGTACAGTTATGCACCATTCGAAAATGCATGAAATAAATAAGGTCTGACATGATATTTGGCTCGGTGTTAAATTTTTGATTTCAAGTGACAAAAATTAGTATTTTGTCTTTTCCATTTGTTTGGTTAACGCATTCATCACTCTATAATTAGATATTAACTGACTCCTTTGAGACCAGCTGCATTCATTATAAGCAGATATTTCAGCTCATTTGCAAATAAACTTCCTTGAGAATTTTTATGATCGGCTCGTTAAACATTTCAGGTCACGATGCATGATGCCACTTAACAAGCTACATAGGCATCTACTTATACATACTTGATACTTGAACGATCTGCCTGCTTACCTTTCACTTTTAGAACGTTCTAAGCAAATACAAAACCAAAGTTGTCGGCAGCAATTGTAATAAAATATGTACATACATTTACAAAACTAATAAATATACATCTCCGCATTGGCTAGCAAAAGCTATCGTCTTAAAAGTGAAGTAGGTACCTACTACAATCGACGATATCATGTTCGTGAGCCAACAACAAGAAGAGGCAGCCGCAACAAAAACAAAAAAGGTACACTAGAAATCATAAGCAGGCAGCGGCAATCCAAAGCTGCGAAGAAGTAATACGCTCACCATGCGCACAGAGCCAAGCAAGCGTCTGCCAGCAAACAGAGAAGATGCCAAAAAGCTACCACAATGGCTGGCTGGCTGGCTTGGTTGTTGGCTTAAACCACTTCTTGCCGCCACAATCGATGTTAACCTGCGTTGTGTTGCCGCTAACGTTGCCCATTGCCGCTGTTGCTGCCTTTAACTTTAACATTGTCGCTGTCGCAGCTGCGTTGCTGAAGATGTCTGAGTCGGCTAAGTGCGCTGCGCTGCGCTGCGTTGCGATTGCGCAGAGATGGGTCCAAAGTGGTTTTCCTTTCGTTTGCCACAGATCATTCCGCTTTGAATTCATAAACGATCAAGTCGTGCATCGCGCACCACAACGAGTGGAGATTCATATACTTAACTAGTGAGCTAAGGTGGATACCGGTGAAACTTTTTTTCTGCTCGCGTGCAATTCAGCTTTTATTGTGTGCTCATTTTTTTTAACTTTTTTGTTTTTTTTTTTTTTACTTTTGTGCCGCTGAAGCTGTCAAGTACTGGCGCTTCAATGTGTACGACTCAATGAAAAACGCTTTTCTTCGAGTTTGTATAGTTTTCGCCATTTCAACGTTTCGCTGCACATTCTAAATGCTTTGAAGCAGCCACAGGCAACAAACAGTGTCCCTCATTTACAACACCAACCACATTTGCTTTGCCAGACATATGCGTACATATTTGCATTTGTTTTTCCGTTTGAGCGCCGTTACTTATGTACGTCCATTCGTTGAAGTACCAAAAGAAGCAAATAAGTAAAACAACAACAACACCAAGTTTAACGCAAAAACCGTTAAACTTAGTAACTAAACTCCCTCAACGGCTGAGCTGATGACAATCTAATCGTACTTGTGAAAACTGTAAATGTTTTGTTCGCGAGTGTTTAACAGTTTGTTGTTGGTGAGGGGCAGCAATTAGAAAACCATTAACTGGAATTAAATTCCATCAGAGGTGACGAGCGGAAGCGTATTGTCGTTGTTGTTTTTGCTGCTCTGCTATCTTGCCGTCTTTTCTTCTTCGCGATCGGTAGCGGTCTTTTGTGTTGAATGCGCGTTGTTTAACGTTACGAAAATTGTGTAGTTGTTGTAGTCGGCATCTAATTGAAGGTGCGAGCATCCTTGAGGTGCAAACCAGTGACAAGTGTACGCAGCGCAAATAAATACACGTTCATACACAAAATTAATACAAACAAAAAAGTCGTAGTCAAGAAAATCGATTTTATAGTTTTAATTGCGCGTAAAAATCGAAAAAAAATCGTAAAAAAAAATACTGCTGACTTTATTGTGGATAGCGGAAACGAATTGGATAACATTGTTGCATAATTTTTGTGTTGACTAAAAACAGACGACGAGGGAAAAATAACTACGGAGCTATGATGGGATTTAAAAGCATAACCTGGACGTGCATTGTTGGTAAGTTATTTATAATCACCTGGCTGGACTTACGAAAAACAAACGCTTCGCGATTTACGTATTTAGTCTCAAGCATGTTTGGTTGAGGCATAAGTATCTGGAATTAATTAAAATAATTTTATTCGCACGGAAAGCTTAAGTTTGGGGCACTGAGAAAACATATAGCTAAATATATTTCTCTCAATATAAGATTTGATAACTATAACCAAATAAAGTGACTATAACCAAGTCATGTGTCGAGAGGAACATATATAGTTTACGTAATGAAACTTTTTTCTCAGTGTGGGCTAACACCACAGTACGTCGTTCAAAAAATGTACATTTTTTACAGCTTAGTAGTCCATTCAAATTACAGAAAATTTAAATTTTTTGCATGGTGTATTCAATTACACCATCCGACAAAATTGAACTTTTTTTGCACCCATGAAACAAGTCATTTCGTCAACTAAGGGTGAAAAGGTGCCAAGTCCATTTTGTAAAATTGTGCAACGAAAAATCGATGTATGTAGTTTCGTATTGCTTGCCATTCTGCATCAAAAACTAAAGTTTGAAAAAAATGGACTTGGCACCTTTTCAACTTTAGGTAGAGATTTATGATTTCTATGGCGAAAACAACCCTTAACAATCCCAAAAAGACAAAATTGCCCTGTGATATTTCGCACTTTATTAAACTTCGGTCCAAGATGTTTTGTTGTTGCAATTTCGAATCTGAATTCATGTGAAAAAAATTTCAGATTTTTGGGACATTTGATGTCCAAAGGCTCTTTGAGAGGCTGGTTGATTTTTACTGGATCCGCCCTTTTGAGTTTTTGAACACTAATCAGCTACTTAAAGCACCTTTGGATGTTAAAAAATCCATCCTCCACATTGTATACCCCATTTTGAATTTTAAGATGCTAGGACTCAAACTGATTTTTGGCGACTTGTTTTCTTGACGTTCATGCACATTTTCCCAGCAGAAAAAAATCAAAAAAATGATCGAACATAGGTAAATGAGCAACACCTTCATCAAAAAAAATAAAAATAAATAAAAATATGTCAAAAATCAATGGCAAGCCAAAGCATCTTTAGAGTTGGTGTACTAAAATAATAAACAATTATGAAACAATTATGAACAGTGTCTGTATATTTTGAGAATGACTTACAAGAAATGTTTGTAATTTCAGTATTTGTTAGATCGCATTATGTTAAAGGAGCTATTTGACAAGACCGATTTATTTTTTGACGATTTCTTCCTGCATCGATTATTATTATTTCGATCTGCCATATCTACTATGAAATCGCTGATAACTTGAAAACAGTGTCACAGTGAAACAGTCAACTCAACCTTTCTTAAACGTTAGTTTCCATACGCAGTAATCAAGTTTCCAAAGGATTTTGCTCCGCCCGGTCATAAATATTTTTTTAAATAAAAAAAATTTCCACCTGTTTATTAAATATAAAATTTTAAATGTACTATATTCCTACACGCAAGCGAGTTCAAGCATGAATGTTGTATTGGGAAGTAGAATTCAGCAACATTTTTTTTCTTTTCCTTTTAACCCATTAACTCATATTAAAAATGATTTTTTACCCATTTAAAAAAAATTCCAATTATAGGTATTAAAGTTTCCACAAAAACGTGAAGCATTAAGTTTTCCTAGGAGCCAACGAAAACGAAAATCTTTTGCAGATTAAGGTGGAAGAGTAAATGCATCCACAAAATGGTTTCTGTAGATTCCCAGCATATAATAAGAAATTTTCGATGAGAGGGAGCTAAAACCTTCCGTTATTTGATTGCCACGTAGTGATACCCCCAACCCAAAATGTCTATTTCCCTATGAAACAAACAATCTTTGAGCCCTAAAACTCAAGTTTGCGACTGGACTTATAATTTTCTAAAGTTTAACACTCTTTGCAAAAAATTGTCAGTTTACCAATTTTTGACCCTGCACTTCACTTGAACTTGAAAATGAGAGCACTACTTTTTTTACGTAAAATAAAGGATTTCCCCCAAAATGATTTTTTTTTACTAATAGAGCCCGGATAGTAGATCATGTTGCCTCGGAAAGCACGTGGAGAGGTTAGGGTCCCTGTAGAGGAATATTTCGAATATTTCGGCGGCTTTACCGACATACCCAAAGTAGGTATACGGTAAACTTTAGGTTTGGCAGACTCCATATCGTCAGCCAAACACTAACATATTGTGTAAGCGCCAAACTATTATTGTAATTATCTAGTTATCCCATACGAAATTTAAATGCCATTGGTGATCTCTCTACTTTAAGCATTAAAACATTAATTTTATAAGCACCTCATCAGGCATAAAAAAGTTTGCTAATTGGCATTCGTTTTTCGGAGGCGACATAAAAGAGCTACGGGACTGCTATTTTTGTAACGCATACACGAAATTGCAGAAGAAGCTAAGTATATAGATAGTATTGTCAAAGGTACAAGGTCACATAATTATTAGCAATAACGTGCATTATATAAATTTAAAATCTTTTCATGACGAAATTGTATGTAATGTCTCCAATTTACCATGGTTGTGCTGCAATTTCTCATACGATTTCATAAATACGATATGTACTTACTTGTATATGCATTCACACATAGTGTGTGTGTGTGTGTGTAGATCGACACACAATTTTGCTATATAAATTGCTAACTCACAATTGGATGACAGCAATTGATGCGAATTTCAAGGTTCATTCATTGATACCCTTATCTTAGATTTGGCATATTTTAAATGCCTTAATGGTGCTTTGATTGCATACATCATGACTGGCTTAATTATTGTATCTTCTGCCCTCACTTAAGTGCTCACATACATACATTCTTACATACATACATACATATGTACGTACGCACAAAAAAAAATTTTATTCATAAGGACGGTAAGACGTGAATTGCAAAAAGTTATGGCAAAGTGAAACTGAAATTAAAGCGAAATAAGAAATATTTTATATGAAGTAGAAAAATTAACAAGCTAGGAAATAAAAATGATGCAAATCGAAATAAAAGTTTAATTATGATAAATGCTTACAAAATTTTTGCGCTCATTAACATTTATGTAGTGGGAAATATGTTTGTAAGCAGCTTTTGTTTGGTTTTCGAGCAATTACTGCCTGCCCCATCTAATTACGCATGGAAAATTGATTCTAAGCGCATCTGCTGTATGTATGTAAATACTTTATTTAAAGCTGCCACTTCTGCTGAGAACTGCTGGAGTTTGAAGGTCATACGAATTGAGTGACTACATAGGTATATTTAGCACAGTCGTACATATCTAGACACTTCATCTGAAATGGGGCTTAATTAGATTTTAATGTATTATGAAATCTCATTTATTTGTTGCATGATATATTTTTGGTGTTCTTGAGGTTATCTATTACATCATTTTGCAAGCAATTAACCAGGCTTTTTTTTTTTTTGAATGAAATAATAAAGATACATAAGTATATAGATAACTATGTCTTAGAATTTCTGTTCATGAAAAATTTTCAATAGCTTCATGGAAGAGATGGGCATGTTGGTCCTTTTGTATTTGCTTCCTTCGTTTGAATACCTCGAGGGCCGCCTCATCGCATGACGCTGTTGCCCGTTCTTCTACGCCATGTTCAGTGACTTTCAGAGTCAGGATGCCTAATTTAGCACTAGAGTTCCTTAACAAAGGAACTTTTTCGAAAATATAACTGTCAATAGTAAACTCGGGTTAGGTTGGTGTGAGAGTCAGCGCAAATAACCAACTCACTTAGAGCCTGAAGGTCCATTGTGTTACCACTGCCAAACACGGAAGCCTCAGTGACTATTCTTCATAGAACCATTTTGAAGTTCTTATAAAGCGTAGGATGGGCTTTATTTATTGGCTAAAGTAAGGCCTACCTAAAAAGTCTGCCCTCCTATAGGCCAGAGCTGGACAACTACAGAAGAAGTGCTCCACGGTTTCTTCCTCTTCCTCATCCCTGCAACTTCTGCAATATTCGTGTGTGCCTGCCAAATAGTCAATGACCGCTTACACAAGCCGTGACCACCGTCCTTTCGTCCTTTTCTTATCTAGCCTTGACCTGTTAACCTCATGGATCATGCTATTTCGAAGTTCTAATTTGCAGGTTGCCATGGTTATCGAAATTATGCCTCTGTTTTCACAAAGGGGGAGATTGGTACCTGTCCTAGCTAGCTCATCGGTCCTGCAATTTCCTTCAATATCTCTATGTCCCGGAACCCATATGAGGCTGATCTTGAATATGGCGCTAATATCGTATTACCATATTAATGGCCGCCTGGCTGTTAATTGTAGTCTTCGGTTCGACATGCGTACTACGGTACACAGCCACCTCTTTTACAGCCAAAACTTCTACCTAATAAACACTGCAGTGATCCGGAATTCGGACGGATAATTCCACTCCTAGTTCCTTAGAGTAAACTCCGTAGCCAACCCTATTGTATAGCTTGGATACATCTGTGTAAAAATTCACCTTCTCCATGGTCTTGCTTTGTTTTATGGGAGTGTGTCTAAATTTTTGAAATACGTAAATCGGCATAAGGAATATGTACATACGGCTATTGAGACCACTTGCCCTGGAATGTACATATATGGAATGTACATACATACACATATCAGATCGCTTCCATTTGAGTTCAGTGGGTTAATTCCATATACATACATATGTACTCTCAAAGATCACATTGTTGCCAGTTCAACTAGCGTAATGTACTACATATTTATGTTACTGCAAATGTATGTATGTAGTTGTTTGTGCAACTGTTCGAATTTCATAATATCGGATGTTAAACCGGCAAATCGGCAAATGCAAAGTATTGTTGCGCGGAAAGATGATATTCGCCAGTTTGAGTGGATTTTGTAGCCACATTCAGCAAATGAAGCAGTTTTTCATTATCAGTGGGCTGCAGACTGCAGCCAAGAGCAAACACATATACAAAAAATTTAGAAAACAATGCTTATAATAACACAGCTATTAGGATTTACATATTTTTATTAATGTTTTTAGTTCAGTCTA